ACGGACGCACGCACACAGGGCAAAACCTAAGTCCCCGTTTTCGGACTGCGTTCGAACGGGGACTAATAAATCGTCATGGACATGTATCCTAACATGTATAGTCTATGTACCAAGTTTGAATGACAACTGACAAAGCATGTCCAAAAAACAAGATGGCTGCCAGTCGGCCATTTTGAATCGAATCGCTAAACCACTGCATGTGCATATGTCCCACATAAAGTACTAGGCACATGCAAAGAATGAACGGAATCGGTCCAAGGGATTCTGAGATATGACTCCGGACGGATGCACGGACGCACAGACGCACGGACGGACGGACGGAGACCGAATTATAAGTCCCTGTATTTGGACTTCGTTCGAACGGGAACTAATAAAGATAAAATATGGAGTACATTATACTTACATTAGCCTCACAGAGAAGAGCTATATCACTGCTTATTGGAGAATTAATATTGTTAGAGACAGGACTAAGGATCTTTTCTGGTAATGGTGCCATTGGATCTCCAGGTCCTAATTCTTTCACTCTGACAACAGAAAGTAATGATATTAGGAGGTGGTTTACAGGAGAACACATACTGTACTTCCCAGAGCATAAGCCCCTCTCAGAGTATAAGCCCACCCTCTGTTTTCAGACATTAACAGGTTGAGGGCATTCCCGAGTATAGGCCCAGGGTGTTTTTACCGGGCTTCAATGACATTTTTTACAAATATGCATGTAAAAAGTGTATTTCATTGCATAATAATCGTGATTGGTACGGTACCCGGTAGTTTGATTCCTGCTTTTACGAGAAAACTTGCATTAATTTCAGAGTGCATGGTCGGCGAACGTACAGAACATGGTTCACGCCTTTTCTATTCTGTTATTTACTCAGGATGAACCCTGATGTTGCAATACTGAAGTAATCCATATTTCTTTTGAGTAGTAGTTTTAGAAACGCCAAAAATATGATTGTCAAGTCGTGAAACCTGGGCATTGAACATAGTTTTACTTTTCCGAATAATCCATTGAGACTTTCGTGAATGGGATGTGAACGAGCAAACTATTCTTCGACATGACTCGTTGGCAACCGTAGAAATTTAAATATTTCCTCCACCCTCAGTTTACCTTTCGAAAAATGCAAATCAACAGCTTTAGGGGAAAAAAATCACCGCTTTTTGACGAAATCAGATTGCATTTTAACATCGCGGTAATTCACTTCCGTATTGCGTTGAAAAAATGACTTCGTCAATAATCTGAAAACTTCGTTTGTACGACACAGCATTTTGATTGGTTAACGAAAGACGTGACCTGTTAGGTCAAAGGAAGTTGTTCAGGTCATGATGAAAAACACAATGGCTTTGTATCGAGAACATTCCACAAGGAAGATAATGATAAAGATCTTGCCTTCGAATGTTTTCCCACAGACCCTACGCATTTTTGCACTGTAAATTCAGACGGTATGTAAACTGTATTGTAATAAAATGTGTGTATTTTTATGAACATGTTTGTTTCTTCATTGTAAAAAGTGTTGTGGAAATCAAAAAGACGTAATATTTATCCGATCCGGCGCTGTGAATGAAAAATGTAATTTGGATAATTTTTTGTGGTTGGGAAGATTATCTTTTCTAAGGTGATCCTTGAGTATAAAGCCCACCCCCTAATTTTCCCGATTTTACATGTTCAGGCCCCTGGGCTTATACTCGGGGAAGTACGGTATTTTAATTACTGTACAATTCTTACCATGCTATAGAACAATTCACAGATTTAGCCCAAGGACCATCATAATTGTAAGGAGTTTTACTATCGGTACATTAATTTATGTTTTGTTCATACAGTTTTTGATTCAGGTAGTCTTCATTTTGTTGATATCATTTCTGCTTGTATTAAATTACAGTCAAATCAGTTTGGACGAACTGCTTATAAGCCAGGCATGTATGTAGTGCTCAAACTTTTTGACAAACTAGA